AGCCTTCCCAGTGTACCAAAGAGAGTTCGTTTAATCAGGAAAAGCTTCTATGCTTGTTTAGTTAATCCATCTTTTAGAAGGCCAAGAATTCATGCTTGTTTGAAGACTTCGTTTGAGCGCAAGAGTTCAATAACTCCAAGTAAGCTAACTGGTCCCTTTTTTGCATACAAACTTGACTTTTTGTTTTTCCAGGACCAAGATTCTGAAATGTCTGTGGCTGAAGTCCAAATCTGCATCTTGCCGCGCAGAACAAACACATCACGTAAGTTGCTCCATGCCAAGAATGCTTCTCACTCTGTTCATTCGTAATCAGGACGCACGAATCAACATCAGGAAGGTTTATATAGAACACCTTGAGAGGGCTCCATCTCGGCCTGTTCAAATTGACGCAAGTGCACAGTACAGGTAAATTTCTGAAAGATTTGCAGACTCCCATCGTAACAGGTTGGCGAAGTCGAGCATCACGGGTCAAAGATGATTACTTATAGCGGACAACGACACACTTTCAGTATGGGGCATGGGTTGGCCACGTTCTTCACATCAGCACCACAGCAGCACGAAAAAGAAAGAAAAGAACTGCTTCCCTGCATTTTCATTGCTTGTTTCTTCTGTTTATGTTGAATTGTGGATCTTGCTGAGCCTCACAGCCACCCCTGCCTTATCTCGTCTGCTCCCTACCACTTGCCTTCTTCCTTGTCTGCTTTCTTCTTCTTCGTTTCTCTTTATCGATCTTTCTTTTCTTTCTTTTTTTTTGTACTTTTTTTTTCTCCCTTGTCTTGTTTTCTTTTGTTCTTTGTTTCAAAGGTCTCTCATGTGGCAAAAAGGTTTTCTGTCATAGGAGCATCGCCAGGCAGTTTTTAAGTGTCGGGATGCTCTCGTTGGTTTTTATGGTACAGACCCAAGTTGCATATTCATAAGCGCGTCGTGTCTGAACCTTTTTGTTTTTCTTCTAACATGAAAGATGACCAGTGAGCAGCAGCCCGAAATCCGCAAGAAGTGCTCGTAGCGGGAAGCTCTGACATTGAGAACAGGGCAAGGAGGGGCGAAAAGGATGAAGAGAATTGCAGTCATTGGAGCTGGTGTTTCCGGACTTGTAGCGGCCTACACTCTGTGCAAAGCCGGATGTCATGAGGTTGTCCTCTACGAAAAGGAGAACTACTTTGGAGGTCACGCACGCACGGAGGATGCGAATGGGATTGCTGTGGACCTCGGCTTCATGGTTTTCAATCAAGTAAGAATCTCTCATTTGCATATGTGTGAGTGATGCGTTTGATGCACCAGGTGACTTATCCCAACATGGTTTCTCTGTTTGACGAACTGGGAGTGGACATGGAAACCTCCGACATGTCATTCTCTGTGAGCCTCGATGGGGGTAAAGGCTGCGAATGGGGAAGCACCGGACTGGCAGCAGTCTTTGCACAGAAATCCAACCTTGTCAACCCGTACTTCCTGAGAATGATTCGGGAAATTGTCAAGTTCCAGGACGACGTTCTCAAGTAAGTTTCTCGCTTTTATCAACTATCCCGAGCTTGCAGCCGTTACTAAGCAGTTTTCCAGCTATCTAAATAAGCTGGAACAGGGGGACGATGCTGTAGATCCCAATCAGACTCTTGGCTCCTTCCTTCAACTTCATGGCTACTCTGAAAAATTCCGAGACTGCTATCTGGTACAATATTTACCATCATTTCGGTCTTTGGCTTACTTGATGCCGTGGTTCAGATTCCCGTGTGTGCTTCAATTTGGTCTTGTTCTTCTGAGCAAGTCTTGGGCTTCTCTGCGGCCAGCATTCTCACCTTTTGCAGAAATCATCACCTCCTTCAGGTAGTTCAGGAGTGACGAAAGAATAAAAAGTGGTGTGATCCATTGTCTTGTCAGATATTTGGAAGGCCCCAGTGGTTAACTGTCAAGGACCGATCAATTAAGTACGTGGAAAAGGTACAAGTTTGCATTTTTTTTTTACCATCTTCTGATCTCATTAGTACAGTAGATTGTCGCAGAGCTAACGAAAATGGGCTGCGAATTGCGGTTGGGATGTGCTGTCTCCAGAATATCAAGCACTGAAGGAGGTAACAAAATATTTACTTTTCTAACTTTTCAGCCAGAATAAGATGCAGGTGTCAAATTGATATTGGAGAGCGGAGAAAAAGTCGTGTACGACACTTGTCTGGTTGCCGCTCATGCTCCGGATGCTCTCACTTTGCTAGGAGAAACTGCAACTTTTGACGAGCGACGACTTCTTGGCGCATTTCAATACAGCTACAGGTACTTCCAAAGAAAACAAAATTCTATTGGGCCAGCTTTTATGCTTCTTCTGTTGCAGCGACATCTACCTGCATAGAGATCGAGCTTTAATGCCTAAAAGCACCGCTGCATGGAGTGCGTGGAATTTTTTAGGGAGCGTGCAAGGGCGTGTCTGCGTCACGTACTGGTTGAATCTTCTTCAGGTATGGGATTAGTATTCTGAAACGGATAAGCACTTCCAACACTTTTCCTTGCAGAACCTCGGTGATACAGAAGGCAAACCGTATTTAGTTACTCTCAATCCTCCAAGGCCTCCCAAGAATTTGATTTCCAAGTGGCGAACAGGACATCCCGTGCCATCTCCCGGTGCAGCCACGGCACTTAAGGAACTGGACACAATACAAGGCGCAAGAAAAATCTGGTTTGCAGGCGCTTATCAAGGTGAGAGACTTTGGTGATCAACAGAGCGGAGTTACCTGACAAAATGTGATTGTAAGTGCAGGCTATGGTTTTCACGAGGACGGACTAAAGGTTTGCTGCGTGTTTACTTTTTCTTGCTATTCATATTTTGAATGACGCAGGCAGGCATGGCTGCGGCTAATTCATTATTAGGAGCGAAGTACCAGGCTTTATCGAACGTAAAGCAGTTGAATTTTACGTGGTGCCAAAGTCAAGCAAGAAGAGAAGTGACAAAGTTTCTTCAGAAGTACATTGTTTTCGGCAAGCTTCAGTTGAGCTTCTTTGTTCTTTATTTCATCGGAAAGGTATGCTAACTGGATGTATACAGATTTATTGAAGCCGGTGGAACAATTCTAGACTTCGTCGGGAAGGATTGCGACTTGACAAGCAAGTTGAGGATTCACCATCCAGATTTTTACTGGAAGGTAAGCATTGTTTCGTGGTTTCTTTTATTTTTCTTAACTAGATTGCGTTTTCTTAGATCGCAACGAGATCTGACTTAGGACTCGCAGAAGCTTACATGGATGGAGATTTTACATGCATAGATTCGCAAAATGGATTGCTCAACCTACTGCTCGTATAATTTTCTTTTATTTTCTTCTGTGTCAAATTTTTTCTCGTGCAGATAATAATCAAGAATAGAGACTGGATGCTGAAATCTCTCAAGGATGAAAAGAGGTAACCTTTGTAAATTTACTTATGGGCATGTTACTAGCTTTATTGTGTTTCTCAGAGGCTGGTGGACTCCTCCTATTTTAACAGCAGCGTTTGGTTCCGCTGTCGCTTACCTTAAGCACAAGCTTCGAAACAACTCTATTGTGAATGCTCGGAAAAACATTTCCGAGCACTACGACTTGGTATGTTTGATTAGCTCGCGTCTAAATTTCGTTGTAACAACGGTCTTGTTTAGAGCAATGAGATGTTCAGTCTCTTCTTAGACGAGACTATGACATACTCTTGCGCTATATTCAAGGTAATAAGTTTGTGTGTGTGTGTCCCACTGTAAGCTAACTGTGAATATTATCAGGGACCGGAGGAGCCGCTTAAGGATGCGCAGCTGAGGAAGATCCACCATCTGATCGATAAGGTGCACATGTACCCCGATTCCCGTTTTTGTTTCTAAAGTACTTTGAACAGGCCAGGATCGATAACAGCCACGAAGTTCTTGAGATTGGCTTTGGATGGGGAAGCATGGCTGTAGAAGTTGTGCGTAGAACGGGATGCAAGTACACGGGAATAAGCTTGTCTGAAGAACAGCTTGCTTTTGCTAAGCAACTTGTTACGCAAGAACGCTTGGAGGTATACTTGTGTTGGTTTATCTCATTTTTCTTATGATCATCTGTCACAGGACAAGATCACGCTGAAGCTATGCGACTATCGTTGCCTTGAAGGATGCAAGAAATACAACAGGATCATTTCATGGTGAGATACCACCTTATATAAACCACCTGATTTTTATTGTCTTAAACTCTTTCAGTGAAATGATGGAAGCAGTCGGGCCTGAATACTACGACGAGTTCTTCGCAAAGTGTGACTACTTGCTTGCTGAGGATGGTCTCGCTGTTATTCAGGTACTTCGAAAAGTTATATGATCATTGGAACAAAACTCAATGGTTGCTGTCCATGAAGGTGATCACCGTCCCCGAAGAAAGATACGACGAGCTCAGGAGGAGCTCAGAGTTCATCAAAGAGTACATTTTCCCCGGCGGTTCTTTACCGTGCTTGGCAGCACTGACTGCAGCGATGTTCCGTGCATCTTCACTATGGTAAGTAAGAAGTAAGATGCTGGCTGGACGCATTCTCATGAGCTTTGGATGCAGTGTGGAGCATCTGGAGAACATTGGCCTGCACTACTACCAGACTCTAATGTGCTGGCGAAGAAACTTCAACTCCAAAACAAGGCATGCTACTGTGTGTCCGATGTCTCAATCCCTTACTCTTCTCCTTTTGCCTTTGCAGTGAAATAGCCAAGCTCGGCTTTAGTGAGAGCTTCATGCGCAAATGGGACTACTACTTTATTTACTGCGCAGCAGGATTTCTGACGTGCACTCTAGGAAACTTACAGGTACGCAAACCCTTAGAAGTTGTTCTTTTCTTTTCTTTTTACTGACACGCAGCGCTACAAGATTGTTTTCTCCCGCTCTGGGAACGCGGCAGCGTTGGGAAACCCTTACAGGAGCTTCCCTACGGCATAGGTGACGAAAAAAAACAGAGAGACATCTTATAAAATATACCTTGTAATAAAAGCATATTCATAGGATATGCGAAGAAGGATATCCATTGGATTCCCATTTTGAAAGCCTAGGGCGTGAGCAAAATGGCGCGCGTCGATATTTCTCTCGGCTATGGCGCCCTCGACGGCCAGGTGCTAGGGTTTCTGGCCAGGGAGCTCATCGCCTTCGTCCTCTACATGCACCAGCAAATGCCGAGGTACAAGCAGTTTTCCTGTGTGATCTCATCATCATTTGATCGATCGCAGGACATTTGATCAGATGCAAATTGAGCTGCGAGGCATGGTGAGCTCACTCTTTCTTTGCAGAAGCCTTAGTACAGATGCAGGAAGGGAGTGTTCGTGACGAAACGACCCGCAAATCGCTCGGCAAGAACTTGCAAAGATTCGTCCGAAAGACGAAGAAGCTCCACAAGTTCTTGGATTGCGTCGAGAGGCTGATGGTGGCGGTAGAGAGCGCGATCGACAGCACTGCCCCAGGCGTTGTGGAGATTGTGCTTCTCATCGGATCCAACGTCGCGCGGCCACAGGTAGTTTACAGATTGAAGAGCTTTGGAGAACTGTCGGATTCTTCGTCGTCGGAGGAGAAAACAAAGATCGATCTCAAGCAGCTCACGACAAAGGTACTACTTTTCTTCTTGTTTATTCTAAGAAATGGTCTCATCGCAGATGATTCGAGAGCTTCTGTCGAGTGGTATCACGGAGAAAGTCGCAGGTAGAGCTTTCGCAATAACTTTTAAATCCATATTCTTGTTCTCATTCCTTTGGCAGGGCCGACGAAGCTATTTCTTCTTGTAAAAGCTTCCCCAGAGTTCATGCCAACACTGTCAGAGAACTTTCTTCCCAAAAGAGCATTTGCATGGAACTCCGCCAAGGTTCTTGCAAAAGTTTCCTCATGCCTTTGACAATTCTTTTTCCTTGTTTCTCGTGTAGGCATCTGAGATATCAATCGACTTCCTGCGAGGAGAAAGCCTAGAAGAAGCTAACAGCGAGAAAATCTGGTACTGGAACTACTTTCGTAAAGTTCTTGTCCAAGCTTGCTGTAACCACAGGTTCCAATGCCGCCATTTTGTGAAAGGACAACCATCGTCCAAGGAGTTGTGCTGATCAGGCTCGACATATCAGCAATGTTCTCGATAAAAAATGTACATCCTTTTCACCAATTTGCTAACTGGCTAGTGACATTCTTCTCTCTGTGATGATACTCGGTGGACAGTACTCGCTTAGAGCTCAGTGACGCAGGTTCTCCAAGCCAAGAGTCGTATAGAGATTTTACAATGGGGTTATCAAAGGGATCCTTCATCTCTACCTGCAATCCCAAACAGAGATTTGAGCAAAAGAATATAAAGCATGAAAAGGAAGTACCTCTTGCAAGTAAGCGCTCTCCAGATTTTGGATGAGCTCCTTGGCAGACTGTCCTTCCTTTGGTTTGATTTGTCCACCACCATTCAAGCACCCCGAAGGACATGCCATGATCTCTACGTACTGGTACTCGCATTTCTTTAGCCGGATCTTGCGTACGAGGTTCTGAATGTTTCGAAAGCCATATGCAAGAGCAAATTTCAATCGAACCTCTCCATCCACCTGGGAGCCTGAACGTTAGATCGAAGCGATTGAGGAATAAAGAAACGGCACAAACCTCCAGCTTGACTTCCCGAAAGTCGGCATTTCTGACAACTTGAAACTCCACGCGATCAGGCTCTGCTCCAAAGAGGTGCTTCGCGGCGTATTTAAACACACACTCGGCGTATCCTCCAGAGCCGCCGGGAACACCGTACAAATGGCCTTGTTCGTCTACATTTGTAAGACTGCACTACGAGACATGAGAGCTTTGTCGAGAAGAAGAAAAAAACGTAGTGAAATGGAACTTACAGTTTGTCCAGTGGCTGCTCCTCAAGTGACATGAAGTCAATATCTCTAGACTGTGAAGAGAAACAATTCAGTATGTTCATAAAAAGGACCTCTTATCAAAGACTCACTTGAAGAAGATCCAAAATTTCTCCCGAGGTTAGCACTGAATCAACTTCCGCAAGGCCAGAGGCCCCGTTCTCTACAGCGAATATAAAGTCGTCCCGAGAAGCTTCCAGCTTCTTGTCATAACAAGGCATCACTGTAACATGATATACATCCTCCGGTCTAGAACAACGAAAAGAAAACCAAAAGTAAGATTACGAGATCTCCGGTCTCGAAAACCACGAACCTGAGGCCCAAAGCATAACACGCATGCCGCTTTAACACAGCACCCATAGCCTGCTGTGGACTCTTTACTCTACTAATGTAAGGAAGAATTTCTGCATCAAGCGTTTTCTCTGCGTAGCAAATCCATCCTAGAAAACCGGGGTGCGATAAGCACACAAGTGTGACAAGCTTTGAACAGCCTACCTGGACACGCAGAAGTCACCACAGGAAGTTGTCTCTCTTTGTAGCGATTAACGAACTCCACACACGATTCGATGAGGGATAAATCTCTGCTGCAGCTGGTGTCAAAGACGGCTTTGACACCCAGAGATTTGAGAAAGCCTGTAAGTTTTCTGAAAACCTGTGACGCGTTACTAGGCTAGGAGAAATTCTCCGACTTGGACTTACTTGAAGTTGCGACAAGCCGTAGTAAGCTGCCAGTGAGGCTCTCGACTGTGGAGATAGCGAGACGATCACACTCTTGCCGCTGTCCGAGAGACGATTTAGAAACTCTTCGATGCTTTGATGCTCCAGCATCACGGTCTCGGCCGACGTGATACAGCCACTGCGCAAAGAAAAACACATATGAAAAAACGAAAGCAAGAGCTTTGGATCCACACCTGCAAGCTAAGCAATCGTGAAGCGTTACTTTGACTGGCTTCTCCACGGCTACATTTTTCGTTTGATCGAAGCTGGAAGGAACTCGCGAGTGAATTTTGACGCTTCCACCGTCATCCTGTGCCAAAGGAAAAAATCCGTGAAATTCTAGTGGAATTTCTTATAGCACCATAGCTCACCTCGATCTTCTTGCTGTTGAGCGATACGACGCAAGCCTGCGATGGTGCGATGAAGTCGTTGAGATCCGCGAGCTTCAAGGCGGTGGAGAAGCCCATTGTGACTGATAAACCCTAAAAACAGAGAGAAGAAATAAGGGTTCTAGGATAGGGAGAAGTTATTTGCCGGCAAAATGCTATCGGCTCCTACTACTGCTTGGAGGATCTGTGCTTGCCCTCTCCGACGATGCCGTGATCTTCGCCCGCGGCGGGAAAAATCGAGCTGGAGAATCTTGCGCGCTTCTAGGGATGGGAATGTGGGCAGTGTTCCATTTCCATCGGATTACATTGAGATGGTCAAACAGGTATCTCTTGGAAATCTTTTGTTCTAGGCCGGGAGAGAGATTTTCTCATGAGTTGTTTACTTGAAAGGCACAAGACGCTTGTCAGGCTGCTCTTGACGACTCCAAGAAACTTCTGGTATGGAATTCTTCTCTTTGCTCTTTTCTTTGATGTTCTTCCTAGGAAGTTGAAGTTCCACCGGCTGGACTCAACACCGTTTCAGGTGATTGATCTGAAACTCGCTAGTTTCTGTGACAAGTGTAAGAATCTTTTGTTCTCTTTTCGATTTCTTCTGCTCTATTCATGTGGGACTTTCTTACAGGAGACGAAGAGGGTGGTATTGAGATGAACATAAGCATGGAAATTGTCCAGAAATTCTGTGCTGGGATGTTCACCGGGGAGAAGGCTCCACGGACTCGAGTGGTGAGTTTCACGTAGCAAGGAAAAAAGAAGATGAAACACTGATTTGATGTGTAGTTTTTCCCGGAGCTGGCCGAGATGAACATAGCCAAGAGCGGCGTGTTTGATGGAAGCATGTTTAAGCTGGACTACTTGACGAAACCATCGCCGTGGGATGATATTGGACTCGGAAAGAAGGTGAAAATGTCCGAGCGCGCAAGACCAACAGATGCAACGTTTGTTGTGGCGTATCCATTCTTCAACCCCAATGGTCTGATGATTTTGTTTTTTTGTTTTTTTGTTTTTTTTTATTGCTTATACTTTTCTCTATTCTTCTCTATTCTTTGTTTTCTAGAAATGCTTGCGGTTGAAGAGCTCTACAGAGACTCTGCGAAGGAAAGTGGATGCCCGATAATAGTTATCAACGGAGATCTGGACAAAATCCGAAATGGATGTATCCTTAAAGACCTTTCAATGTTTTGGTTTGCCTTAGCGAGCTTTTTCTCAGATTATCCGCCGTTTTTCTATCCGAAACTAGGGGCTCTCGCCAAGACTTTCCTTCCAGACTTCGAGACTGTTTATTACATACACAACTTCAAGGGACGATTTGCAGGGACGCTATTCAGGTACGTGTCACTGCTTAAGATTTCTATGTTTTGTGTTGGTAGCTTGTGATTCTGACGAGTTTTTTGCAGAGCTTATCCCGGGCCTTGGCAAGTTCTCAGATCCGTAGAGGGAGAAATGGTTTGCATTCACTCGCAGGAAACCATGCCTTCTCTGAAAACAGTCGCGCTCGAGATACTGCCGTTCCAATATGGAGTATCCGAACGTGTGTGACAGATGTGTATATTGACGAGAGGGCGATTTGATAGCTTCCCTTTCGTGCTATGGAAGGCCTTTACAAGGAAATTATCAGCATTGGCCTCGAAGCCGTGCAAGATCTTCCCGCTGGGAACAAAAATGCTGACGATTCGCCCTGAGAATTCGGGAAAGCCCTCGTACTAAGCATCATGAGGTGAGGTTTTTCTTTAGAGTGTATCGGGGCTGTGTTCTTAGTGGCGTTGTCTTCCAGGCACGATGAATACAAGCAAGCGAGAACTACTCCGACCAACGGACGACGAAGTTTTTGAAAGCCTAACTTACAACTCGGTTCAACACTGTTAAACAATTCGAAGAAGAGGTCACGAAGAACAAAGAGAAATAATCGGTCTGCAAACATTTGATCCAAGTCACAGTCTCCAGTGATGGTGATGTTGATAATTTCAATCCGCTAGTGCGACACGTTTCATTTGCTCCAGGTAAGATGGCCTGAATTAAACGTTAAATTAATGATTAAGATAGTAATTTTAATGCTATGGCCGTGCTAATCCACTTCCATTGCCGACGATTGCAGTAGCATCGCCCAGATGCCCGTCTTGTCGCCAATGCCGCGTCCTCGTCCAAGCGCAAGAGGTGGAGCTTTGGAGGCCACCGCGGCCGCTCCCATCGCTATGACCTCCATGATGAGCTCCTACAACACAATTGCGATTCTCGAGGTGGCCAGAGATTCGCCCGGTGAATTCGAGGGACCTAGATTGCTGCTGCTGGATCAAACAGGTAAACAATCTCAGCTCATTTGGTTCTTGATTGAGTGAGCTTTACGACCCAATGTAGGAAATGTCCATGCCAATATTAAATACACATCTATGTGCATAATAAATTTTGAATTCAAATAACATAAACAAAGGTTTGATGTATATAACCAATAGTAGTGTCTTCTTCATTAATTCTTAATAAAAGGAAAATATGGCAATTCCAGCATTTTGTGACCTCTTGAACGGCCAGCTTGCAATTGGACAAGAAAGCCTGAGCCAGAAAAAGAAAAAATATGGATTGAACTATATACATGCGTTTCCAAGAAGAACATACACATACCCTTCGTGACAAGCCGAGTCCATTGTAGACTTTGCCGCAAAGTAGCAGTGCTTGACTACGGTTCTAGAGTCTTGACTTCGGCACGCTCTCAGAAACGAGCTCCAGTCCGAAGCACTAGGCTTGAACGGCATGGAATGGATGAGATCATGGGCATCATCGAGGAATCCCGCACGCCCCAGCAGATCCACAATGCAGCAATAGTGTTGCTTGATGTGGCTGGCTCCAAAATCCATGACGGTCGAAACGAAGCAGCTCCTCGCAGCAGCGAGCTTCCCCGTGCGGCTGCAAGCGATGAGGCAGCACGGGAAGCACGATTTGTCCGGCATTGTCACCAGGATCATGGAGCTGAACAGCTCAAGACTGGATTGAATTGAGTGAATGCGATCGTTGCTGTGGACCAAAGCCGCAAGCATTGCACTCCATGACACTGAGTCTTGCTCGGGCATCTGATCAAAGAGTTTACTTGCAAGAAGTATTTGCCCACTCTGGGCATATCCAGAGAGCAAGACGTTCCACGACACGGAGTTGCGAACTGGCATCTGATCAAAGACCACCTTTGCCTCCAGGATGTAGTTGTTTTTGAGAAAACAGGCCACCATGGCTGTCCAGGAAACCACGTCCCGCTGCGGCATTTTCTTCTCAAAGATCTCCCAGGCGAGCTCCAAGTTGCCGCCATAGCCCGAGAGCATCGCGTTCCAGGTGACTTGGTCGTGCTGGGGCATTTGCGCAAACATTCTCTCCATCACAGAAACATACCCGGATTGTGCATAAGCCGAAAGCATCGCGGACCAAGTCACCACGTCCCGCTGCTCCATGCGATCAAACACCGCCCGCGCTTCCTCCAGGCTTTCCTCCTCGAGGCACACATTCAGGATCGCATTCCACGACGCGAGGTTGTGCCGCGGCATCTGCTGAAAGAGCTCTCGGGCCTCTCGCAGCGCGCCGGTTTTCACGAAAATGGAAAGCATCGCGTTCCAGGAGATGATGTTTCGCTGGGTGGCGGCATCGAAGAGGGCCTTGGCATCGCTTGCCCGCCGTGGTTCGAGAGCAAAGGCTGCGAGCATCGCGTTCCAAGAGACGAGGTTGTGCTGAGGCATGGCATCAAACACCGCCCGCGCCGCGCGGATGTGGCCGCCATGCGCGTACGCGGTGATCATGCTTGTCCATGATACCACGTCGCGGCACTCCATGCTCTCAAACACCGCCTTGGCGGCCTCCAGGCGTCCATCGCGGGCGTGCATGGAGAGCATCACGTTCCAAGACATGAGCTTGTGCTCGGGCATTCGATCGAACGTTTTCTCCGCTTGGGCTGTAAGCCCGCACTGTGCGTATGCCGTAAGCATTGCGTTCCACGTAACAAAGTTCGTAGCTGGCATTGTTTGGAGCACAGTCTCGGCTTGCGCAGTTTGGCCGCTCTGAGCAAACGCTGTAAGAAGGCTATTCCAGGACACAAGCGTCAAGACTGGCATCGCGTGGAATATGGCCAGTGTTTCTTTGATGTCTGAGTTACTTGAGCTTGTGGCCAGGATCGTATTCCAGCTGAAAATGTCATGCTGTGGCATGTTGTAAAACAGCTCCTGCGCTTCGCGAAAATGCCCACTCTTGGCATAGACCCAGATCATCTGGTTACACGACACGAGATCCCGGCGCTCCATCGAGCAGAAGAAAGCCTTGGTTTGGTCCAGAGTTCGCAACCTGGCACATAGTCCGAGCATGATGTTCCACGACGCGACATCCTTGTGTGGGATCTCATCGAAAAGTTTCTGGGCTTCCTCGGCATAGCCCAAGGCGGCATAGGCGGATAGCACCGCGTTGGTGGAGATTGTGTCAGTGTGTGGCATTTGCTCGAAGACCTTCTTGGCAAGCTGGATGTGGCCGGCCCGGGCATGCTCGGCGATGGCAGCAGTGCACGCAGATAGATCATAGACGTGGAGTTTGTTGCCCTCGTTCTCCAAGCAACATGTAGGCTGGGCAGCCCTAACTAGAGTTCGCGCAATGGTAAACAAGGTGGGAGTCAGGATCAACGTGTCATGTGGGTAACTAGCATCGCTATAGTTCCAGCTCTTGCTTCACGTGCTCTTTTTTTTGTTCTTCATCGATTTTAATTATTTTTGACACCCGATTAACCAAGAGAAAGACGCAAATTCTCTCAATCAACTAGCTATTAAGATTAATCAATTGCCCTTTTTTCATTAGAGAAAAATAAAATGTGCTTGTATTTTGAATCGTGTAGCAATTCCTTTGAGAAAGGTTTGTTGGAAGTTTATTTGGTCAGTGTTGAAATACACTAGGGTGGGACTCAAGAATACAAGCACTTTTGAAGTATCTGAGATGCGTGGCACCGTATAAAGAAGTGACCTTTCTTTATCAATTCATGAAAGTCAACCAGCGAGACACTCTCCGCGTCTGCCGTGATGAATTTCTTGATTGGCGAACTACGTCCTCTAGGTTACGGTTGCAAAGAGGAAGAATGGTGCTTCTCATCTCCAAAGACCAGGTAACTCCAGAGCTTCTAGAGTCTGTAGCACGGGATGGATATAATGCCAAGATTGTCTCGGCAAACGACCACGAAGAGGAGCTCTCGGAAGTCCTCTGCTTCGCCCAGATCTCCACTCCTTTGGACGTGGACGCACTCCGAGTCGATTGTAGATCTGGCATCATGGACATCCTGCTGCCCGAGGAGCTCATCGAGGACACGGCTGTTTTGGAGCTCCTGGAGCACTACCAATACACCATTGCCCAGGAGACACGAGCCATCCTTCTCGGCGACCATGATCACGATCACGCGGAGCGCAACAAGATCTACTGCACGAGAGCGTTCGACGAGGAGAGGCTGGAGTTGAAGCTCCACTGCATGTACAACTCCAAGAGGACGAAGATCGAAGTCCCGGCCATCAACTACGCGGTGAGATACAAGAGCTTTGTCGTCGACGAGCGCAAGCAAATCCAAGAGACCGTTCTGTCGAGGGCCGGGATGCCGGAGCAAAAGCTGGGGATTGGCCTCTGCGTTGACACCTTTGGATCCAACCATGATCACCCAAGAAGCATCTTGATGCGCTTGTCAACCTTCTGCGTGGGGATCTCCATGGAGGACTTCCTGGACGAAACAAAACACGAGCACTTGTTTGGCTTCTTCCCGGACTCGGTCAAGATCATGATTCAGCCTTTACTTACCAGTATGAAGCCGAGCACCCGGATTCTTCCCTGTTTCATCACCCCCGACCAGAGCTTATCTTTGGTTCCGGACTACCAGATCGCGTCTGACGCGCAGCACGAGTATAGAGCAGGAGTGAGCGTGAAGATCCCAACAGCTGCGAAGCTGGAGCTTGGAATCACTAGGAAGGAGGCCGACAACTCTGCAGTAAGATTGACAACAGTTAGTCCAGTTAACGTGGGAGACCCTGGCGTTGCATGCATCCAGTGGAAGATGAATACCTGGGCGAACAAGAAGCCTTATCACTGCGACAAGCCTCACAAGGCCATGACCAAGTTTGGAGAGTGGCCAAAACTTCCATATCTCGGCACTGGTCCGCAAATCACCGGCGTGGAGAGAATCCAGTGGCAAGTTCAGGACCCGGACGTGATCCTGGACGATCTGCGTTTCGAGGTGACGATTGAGACGAGGATGGTGCTGCTCCGCAAGGAGAAGGTCGTGAGCTTCTGTGGACTTGGGGAAGTTGCTTTCAGCGGAGAGTCGACTCAGATCAGACTGGTGCACAAAGCTGAGATGAAACTCATGAAAGTCTGATTGATCAAATGATAAAAAGTAAAGTCTGTGAGACCGACGATCCAGTCCAAAAGTCGATACGTACCAGTTGTGTTTCAAAAGCTGAGAGCAGAGTAAAGATCTCCAGAGACTGTAAAAGCTGCCCATTGATTGACAGTGTAAGCTGGAGCTCCCATGAAGTTCTTCGAGTGGATCATCGACTTCATCGCGGACTGCAAAGCCACGGCAATCTCCACACCCTTGCATGCCTCGGCATAAAATTTTTCCACAAGCAGCTGTGTTTCAAAGTCGTCCACGTTCCAGAGAGAAGCCACCACCACCGAAACCCCAGCCTCGTGGAAACACCGGCACAGCCCTGTTATCCCTTGCATTTCGATCTGTCCCAGGGCAGTGCTGCATCCACTCAGCACCACTCCGAAGCTCGCCACCTCTCTGTGACGGCGAAGTTTCTCTTCGATTTCTTCCATTGACAAGCTCCCGTCCTCCAGATGCAGAGCACCACAAGGAAAGTTGTCGTTGATCGACGCGTGTCCCGCGATGTGGATCCAGCGACTGCTGGAAAACGAGTCCATCACTGCTGCACGAGTTGCTGCTGCAGCTTCGTCCATCTCACGGGCTCGCCTGCCTTGAAGACCCAATAAGAGATCCACCTGACATGATCCTCGTTGCATGAGCTTGTTGACCACGAGCACGGCCTCGTCTTCTGCCGATTCCAGCGAGTCGTCTGGATTTCCCACCACCATAGCCTGCTTGATGACCACCTGGTCGCTTTTGTTGCCTATGAATCTCTCGACCATTCTCAGGGATGGCGAGTACGAGATTGCATACTTCTCCACCAGGTAGAGTCCGTCCTCCGGGTCCAGCAATGCAGCAAACGGCACCATTGCCACCACCTGTGAGCTCGTAAAAACTCTGCAAGCTTTTCCTGGCAAGTTTCAGAAAGACGTACCGAAGTTGGGATGACAACCAGCCGCTTTGGTTGGATTCGTTTGAGCTCCTCCGACCAGGGTGAGATGAGCAGCTGATGAAGCTCCTCCAGGCACTTCCTAATATCCTCGTCCTCGGCAAGGTTTCTCCGCATGTCGTAAACTTTGGAGTAGAGCTGTCCAACAGCCTGAGCGTGCCACCGGGCTTCTTCTTCATTTGGATTCAAGAGATAGCTGTGCATCTTACTTCGGCTGGGAAGCTCTACGAACGGATACACCCAGTCCCAAAGGTAGACGAGAAACACAGTGTCGTCTCTCGCCGACTTGTAGACCGCTTCCAGTTCTTCCCAGATGGTGTCCACGTTATCGATATCACGAGGCCCCGGACGTCTGCGCTCCTGCTGGTACCAGCACAGCAGATGTTTTTCCCGCTGCAAAGGCCGAAAAGCCTTTCTTCTCCTGGCTTTCAGGAGATCTCCAACAGTGAACATCCATGCTAGATCCTGGTTTGCTGTAAGAATGCTGTCGATGATCGAGTCACAGTTGCGTTCTTGGAGTTTGTCGCCGTCTAGCTTGTTCCTGTGGGCATTTGCCTTCGCCAACTCCACCACAAAGCTCACAGCCTCCGTCATGTTGATCATTCGTACGCACTTGGAAGAGGTATTTTTGCTGCAGAGGTCCAAGAGTTGAGCAGTGCTGGATTCCCCTCCTTCAAGGTCGCCTCGGTGATAAATCTCGGCTGTCGCTCGGTTCCGGACGAGCTCCGCAGCTAGAGCGTTGTGATTGGCCTTCGGAACAAGCCCTTGCATGGAGACAAGCATTTGCAACTTCTCTTCTGCTTCCTGGGTTCCTTCGTGATTAGCTGAAAACTCCCTGGATAGCCGTGAAATCCCCAAGACAAGTCGAGCTGACTCCATGACATTTTCCATGACTTGCGGCCAGCAAACGGGATGATTCGTGTCCGGCTGTTGCGTTTCAAAGTATGAGAAGCTCTCGGGTAGCATGTCTGTCGAAAGTTGCTCCAGGATCTGGAAAGCTTCGAGGCTGGCCGCCTCGGCCTCGCCAAATCTCTTCTGAGCGAAGTTGATGCATGCATGCATCTCGTGGACTTGAGCAGCGACGTAACCCCCGGCATGGTTTCCCTGCAGCTTGTTGGCAAGTGCCTCGGCCTCGTGAAGGTTTCCGGCGTAGAACTCAACTTGAAAGAGCTTGCAGAGTGCGTGTAGCGCCACATCCACTCTCTGGAGCTTCACAGCAGCCCAGTGCTGGATTCCATAAACCATTTGAGCCTGTTTTCTGCAACGAAAAAACTAGAAGACAATTATCCAGCAAAGATTTCGAAAGATCCCAATACCTGCTATGAGAAGTCAGCTCCCGTTCTCCGAGATAAATATCTCCCAGCATCTCACTGGCCTGGCTAAGGAGATTGTAGCTTCTTGCAAGTTCCAAGCTCCTCCGAAACCAGCTCGCAGAATCGTCCGTGTTGCTGCTCTTGCTGGTACCCACGCCAACGTAAAAGCAGGCCCAGGCCTTGGCCTCGTCCAGAAGCTCGGGAGGCGTCCAAAAGTCCTTGACGAAATCGAGAACAAGGTGGTAGACTTGCGAAGGTGATTGGGATAGTAGAAGTTGCGAGACGAGCATCTGGGTGTAGTCCAGTGCCCAGTAAGCTCCAGGACAGTCTTTGTACGCTTCCGTCTTGAGGTGCAAGTTGATGAAACCTCTCAAAGCGTCACATGGATCCAGGCGTTGATCGTCCAGAAGTCTCCTTATGCTTCGCAGCTCGGCCGAAACGTCCTTCACGGGATCACCGAGGATCTCAAAGAACCACGGCTCGTTCCACTGCTCTAGTTTCTCGAGCTGCTTGCTTTGGTTCCATGACAACGTGCTGCTGGCATGGTTCAGCTTCACTTTCTCCAGTAGAAATTCGTGAGCGAGATGGAGCCAGTGCTCTTTCTGCATGTACCAGTGGATCGATCGTTAGAACAGGAAAAAAATGAAAGTGACAATGAAAAAAGAAACCTGGAGCCGGAAGGAGATTGGTGGACCACCATGGAGACCAAGTTCACCTATTTGTTGGATTTTGTATGTGGCATCGATGAATACTGCTTGAGTCTCTCGTGGAACCTTGAGCCAAATGGGACAGATACTATCGATATGTGGTGGACAAATGATCTCTGGCTTTCCCATGGTTCACCAAAGCCCTGAGAAAAATCGCGATGCCAGAAAAAATGCAAGCAAGAATGAAACGCACCCTGAAAGAGAACAACCGAAGACTTTAGTACCTGGCATTCTTAGATAAGAGATCGACGAAACCCCTCAATTCTACATCCCATACTGTGCGGGCGTTCTGATGGAGCTACAATCAATCAATCGAGCGAGAAGATAGCCGCTACCTCTCGGATCGAGACCTTCCCTCCTAGAAATATTTTCGTCTTCCTTGCCCTAAACATCGACGGCCAATATCGAGTGGATCGTTTAAAAAGTGACGCTTGCCACGTCAGTAACACAAGGAAAACTATAAATTATGTGGCGCGCCGCCATTGGTCCCCTTTATCATGTGTGACAAGACAAAACTATGGTGTGGAGAGCGCTCTTCCTCTTCTCGCTCGCGTTCTTGACATCGAGCTTCATATCATCCATCAACGAGCAATCGCCGCCGCGCCGCTACTTCGGCAGCGCCACCGATCAAGGCCTCCGCCGCTACCAAGAGGACAGGATCTTGGCCGTGTCCAATCACACCCAGTTTGGAGTCTTCGGCGTGTTTGACGGCCACGGCGGCGCGCAAGCCAGCGATCTCGCCGCCTCGCTCTTCTATCCCAGGTTCGTCCGCCACCTTTCCTCCCAGGGTGGCGATCTCCGCCGCCATGCACTCGAGAAATCCCTGCGATCCACACTGGGCGACGTCGAGGACGCGGTTCTCGGCAACCAGATCACGGCCGGATCCACCGCGTGTGTTGCCGTTGTCACGTCCGAGTTCGTGCTGGTGGCCAACGTCGGCGACTCTCGAGCTCTCGTCTGCGCTGCCGGATCGCCCGCGAGCGCTCCACGCTTGAAAGCCGTGCAGCTTAGCCGAGACCACCACCCCGAGGTGCCCGAGGAGCGAGCACGGATCGAAGCGGCGGGTGGCCGGGTTGTTTTCACGGGGGCGGTTTACCGAGTGGACGGAGCTCTGGCCATGTCTCGGGCCATCGGTGACGCGGAGTTTAAGTCGCATGGCGTGATCGCGACGCCGGAGTTCACGGAGTATAGCATCGCCGAGGCCGGGGCTGGATCCTACTTGCTGCTCACCTCGGACGGAGTGTTTGAGACCATGTCCAACGAGGAGGTGTGTAGGACGATGGGTAGCGGATCGACTTCCTTGGACGAAATGGCATCGAGGATAGTTCGAAGAGCCTTGGACAGGGGGAGCTCGGACAACGTTTCTGTGATTGTAGTTCCATTGTAAGTTTGGAAGAAGCACAGCTTAGTAGCTCATTCATTAGCAAGCAGGGATAGTCGATCCCGAAATTCTTGAGAACCTGTTACACAGATCTCTAAATTGGTGCGAGCACGGTTCATATAAAGAGCGTTACCTTTTCTCCAAACGCTGGTCATCTATGCCGATTGGTTCGATCTTATCCTCAGGCAAGAAAGGCAAAATCCTCACCACTTCGTCCACCTCCACATATCAAAGCAAAGATCCTCGGCTGAAAAGACGCGCATTCAGGACAGCGCTCATGATCGATCGCTCTCTCTCGATTCATTGTCAAAAGCCCTAAAATCTCGAATGTACCGCCACGTGGAACTCGCGTGCCCTACATGGGACGTGGCGGCTGACACGGCAAACTAACTTATGGCCACAGCTATGGGACTCCGACGTCCCAAGTGAGCGACGAACGCCCATGGAAAAGAAATGGGCGCTTGCAAAGAACTCACGGCGATCGTCACGTTGAAGGAGAGCTTCTCCCCTTTGTTCGAGGAGTGTAGCTCCTGGGGAGAGACGGGGATGGCGAGCCGCGAATCGCTAGGAGCCTCCACTCGGGATCTGTAGATCGAGCTCGCGTCGCCGACGTTTGTCAATGTTCGCTGGATCGTGGCGCTCTTGACGACGCTGATGTAGAATCCGATGGAGGGATAGTTGAGACTGGCGGGAGTGCTCTTGCCGTCGGGACAAGCGGTAGCGCTGTCCCCTGTGATTGCTTGGAGGAGTGGCCCGTGCTGCACAGGTAGAGGATGTAGTCCGAGGTAGCGGTCTCCTAGACCAGTCCCGGATCGATGGCTTTCATCGGCTGGATCACTCCGGCGTCAATGCTGAAGAAGCTTGCTGGCATTCCATCGCTCTCGGTGTTGTCGAGAAAATCTCGCTGAAAAGTTTCGAGAGATAGTATCAGTCCCCGCTTTTGCTCATCGTAACAATGATCTCCTGCCTGTTGTCATGATCGCAGACTTGATTGCTGCCGGACTCCAGCTTGGATGAACCGACTTGATGAAAGTAGCAGTACCGGTTGCGTGAGGACAGGCGAAGGACGTTCCAGATGCAATAGCATAGTTCACGCGCACAAACTTCCCACTTGGATCCATTGCTGGACGTGCACCGCTCCATGCCGCCAAAATGCTCGCCCCTGGAACACTCACGTCCGGCTGAGAAACATCCAAGGAAATCAGAATTGTGTCCTCCAGTGAAAACAAAATAGCAAAGCAGCTTGATCATGACGAGCATTACCTTTATAATGTCGGGACTGATAAAGCTGGGTCCTCTTGAAGAGGGACCTGCAGCAACTGGTGCGGGCTTTATAGGAAACACAGTTGAGTTCCTGAAAAAACAAGATATCAGTCAAGCAAACAACTTTGAAGTATTGACTCACGGTGTGATGTTTCGATCGATTGAGCTAGCACCAACAGTAAGTATCCAAGGAGCTACATTCGTCACTGTTCCGTTGAGCGGCCCAGAGTTTCCAGAAGCACTCGAGACTATAATGTCTTTCTCCAGTGCATGGAAGGCACCAATCGCGATAATGTCGATGTTATACAGCAGAGTCACGTCTCCAAGTGAGAGCGAGATCACGTACACACCGTCGTGAATTGTGTCGTCTAAAGCCGTTACAATGTTGATGTCGTAGCACTGGAACATCCAACACACTTTCTACGCAGAAATCCTGGCACTGCGAAAACCACCTCTTGCAATTCATGAAGCCAGTCCCCCCATACTCGCGTTGCCCACTGCCATACCAGCGGCAATAGAACCTGTGGCCGTTCCATGGCCACCGAAGTCTCTAGGATTACTGTATGCCACCGAAGCGTTTGGAGACAGGCCAGCTCTGTCGTATTTCGCACCTCACAAATTTCAGGAAAAAAAAAAGTGATGGAGTACAGACAAACTTCGTACCTGTTGCAGTGAACTACAACGGAAGCGTTTGTCTTTGGATCATTGACGCAAGAGCCCTTCCATGTCGCAGGAACTGGACTCATTCCATCATCACGGAAGCTTTCGGATTCAGGCCATATACCTTGTGCATTAGGTGTGATCCCTCGAAATACGAATCCTGAGTTCATACCTGAGTCAAGGAGTCCAATAGTTACGTCACTGGAGTCCTCACCCAGAATTTTGTGCTCGCGTTGCTGCTTTTGACTCTGCGTCGATCGGAAGGCCCAAGAAATCCCACGAGTGTGATGAACACTGAGAACTTCCGGCATTCCTACAGATCAGGAGAAAAACTGTTTAGATTAGACTCAAGTTTCCAGCACGTACTGGATAACTCGTCAGCTTGTTCTTTCGTAAGTCTGGCTGAGAATCCACTAAATACATACTTATAACTATAGATCATCGCTGCTGAGGCCACCTCCATGCTGGAGAGCAGAAAAATTAAAGAAAATAAACACGAAGGATCAAACTGGTACCTTCCAGTTCCTTGCGCGAGTAGATCATAGTGAGTTGTGGTCAGTGTTTCGGCCGATACGCCATTTTGACCTCCAAGGTAGAAAATATACGGCTGAAAGAGGAATAATAATCAAAGACCGATTAAAGTAGAGAAAATGAACAATAAAAACCTTTAAGGAGCTCGAAACATCCCCTTTCCAGTAATGCAAAAAGAACACAAAAAGAAAGAATTGCATTTTGTGGTGAGAAACACTGCAGAGATTTAAATTAAGCAAAAGCGGCGGCTATCACTATGAGTCACTGCAAATAACACAAGCTAAAGTGTACTACAGACAAATGATCTTATCATTATCTAAAGGAATTGTTATTCAAAAAAAAAGTACCTTAACACGCAGGCATGACAGGAGGAGGGACAAGTTGTTCCGAGGGCTCATCCCCATTCTCGACTATAAGCACGATGCCCAATCCCACCGAGAGGTGGAAATCAAGATGGCAATGAAAATACCAAGCACCTAAAAGCACCCACAGCTTTTTAAAGGTAATGAAAGAGCTCCACAGAACGGAAGTACCTGGATTAGTAGCTAAGAATCTCAAAGCAGTCCACCCTCCCGCTGGAACCTGTACCGTGTTGTGCTTAGGAGGATCCCAGAGATTAAACGTCGAAGCCAGTGACGAGTTGTAGTTCCCAAGCCCACGTCCGACCACAAAAAAGTCGAAACCATGGAGGTGCATGGGGTGAGACTCCGCTACCACAAGACTTGTCCCTTGAAGAATAACCTGCATCCTCGTTCCATACTCCACAACGTGCACCTTAGTTCCCCGGACAGCGTTGAGATTAGCAGGCGGAGGCCCAGTGTAGTCGAAAACAACAGGAGGATACTGTGGGAAGTCGGTGGTGTAGACTCCAGAACTGGCACCGGTGTAGAAAGCCTCGAGTATGGAGGTGTTCGGATGGACGTAGCTTATGTTGTTCATGGATGCTCCGGCCCGCCCCTCAAAAAACTGGCAGCTTTCCTCTGATGCGTCCGGAGGACAGTCGAGGACGTTCATCGACACCGTTATCACCATCTCTTTGTCGATTTCTGTAGGAACCGCCCCCTCGACGAGCCCCAGTACCTTGTCCTCAAACTCTGTCACAAAAGCTGTGTCGAAGTGGCCAGGAAGATCTGGTAAATCTGCCGGAACGTCGGACGAGTCACCAACTTCGAGTATTGCGGAACTTGTCGTGTTGTCAATAGGTATACTCGGAGCCGCACTGTATGCTCGGGCAGCCATAAGGTATGAACCGACGTCACTTCCAGTAGTGATCAGCACGTTCATGCTCTGGCCTGGTCCGATTACCACTGTGCTCGTGTTAAAAGGTTTAACATACGAGGCGTCGATCTCGATCACTTCAAGGGTATGATTTGCAATACCAAAGAACATCTCGATCTGCATTGCAGCGTTGACAAGGCGCAGGAGATGTGTGTTGCTTTCTGCTACCCTTACACGAGCGGTATCTGTGGACAACTATCAGTTCATATAGCAATGAGTGTGCCTGCATACCTGACTCTGAGCACCCACCATACAGGAGGCCGGGAAGCCCGTTTATCGTCAATGCATCTGATATGTTTGGTGGTACACCAGCTGCTGTAGCTTCGTCCACCATCGCAGAAACATCAGAGTTCCACCATTGTCCTGGAAAATCATGTAAGAAATACGCAAAGAAGTTAGACATACCAAGAATGATAGTGTGCTCCTCTGGGAGAGGATTAGAACTAGGCTGTATTATAAAAGCTCCGTAAACGGTAGCTCTGAGCCAGCCTGCGTGTGCATGCCACCATAAGGTACCCCGCTGACCAACAACCGTGAAGTTGTACGTAAAGGAATTTCCAGGCTGAATGGGACACTGTGTGACGTACGACGGACCATCGAACCAGCATGTCCGCTTTTGATACACACCATGCCTACCATTCCAGTCGTCTCTTAAAATCAAGCTCAGAAAAAAAAGGAAGAAAGAAACGCTTTCTAGCACTTACCAGTGAATGCTGATGCCAGAACTCGCTTTGTTTGTTACTTCAATAATCACTCTATCCTCTTCATCTACTTCAATTTGCGGGCCTGGAAACTCGCCGTTCACAGTAACAATCGTTCTGGTTCGACAGAGTCTAGTGATAGTCTTATTCTCTACCTGCAAGAGAAACTATTACTCGGAAAGCCTCCTAGATCAAGGCTTACAGTAAAATAGTAGTGTTTAGTTGAAGAATGAACAGTTTGAAAAGTAGTCGCTACAAGAAATAATATTGTTAGAATCGACATAACAGTCTAAATAAACATTCAAAACTTACCTTGCTATATATTCAAGTCTATCCACCCTCCGTTCTCATTTTGACCATTCACACCACCTCAGTGGGATTCAGGAGTTGCGTGAGTGACTACAATTACTCTTGCCACACTAAAACAATGGATAGAATCAAGACTTTCATGCCCCACGGCAACTCCCATGCAGTGTTAGAGATTAAAACGAATGGTCATGATCATTACCAGAGAAGAACCTCTACAAGTATTTTACAGCCGCAAGTACACTCAGCACAAATCCCGACGAGCTTAGAAAACTGTATGTAAAAAAGATCCTGCATGCCATATATGAGCCCGCGTGTTCGAAATAGACAAACTACAAACCTGCCATCTGGACGCGGCTTCTTCGATAGTCAAAAGGTGCTGCACGAGTTGTACAATTCCGAAACAAAAATGCTTGCAGCTCGGTAGTTAGCCAAACACTCCTGCCCCAAACTCGCCCCGTAACTCACGCCTTCTTTGTTCTTCGAGTGGATCCGGGCTTTTCATGGCTCTTCTCAGTCTCCTGGCAGACGATAACCATAATAGCCACGTAATGTTCTTCTCTACTGAACAATGTGTACCTGTCCTGATCGCTTCGTACTGGAAAAGTCGGCATAAGCTCTTTCATTTTTGGAAGTGGAACTTCGTCAAACCATTCGTGATTCAACGCTTCTTCAGCTGTAATTCTCTGCAAATTCCTGGAGTCAGTTAGGAGGCCTTGCCGTGTGGAATAAATACCTTCGATGGATCGTAGGTAAGGAGTTTGTTAAGCAAGTCATAACCCTTCTCGGATAAAGCCGGTCTTCCTCCAAAAGCAACTGGAGGAAACTTTTCCCGAAGCCTATTATACCTATCAAAGATTACACCAGTTAGAATTGCCGAGTCCCAGGACAAACGAAACTCACGGTTGGCGCACAAAGTTGCATTTGACCCCTGGCAAGTTTACAAAATTGGGCCAGATCTTCTCATTTGGCGTTCCTAATGTCTTAAATATCTGCAGTGTAGAAAGACACAGATATATTGTAGATGTACTTCAGAATTACTGACCTTGTCCAGCTGGTCTATTTCAGACTTCCCGGTGAACAAAGGTTCTTTGGCGAGGAATTCTGCCATAATGCAACCCAAGGACCACATGTCAATGGCAGCATTGTATTTCTTTGAGCCGAGAAGCAGCTCGGGGGCCCTAGAACAAGTTTCAGACTTCCATCTATGTGCTCTGAAAAGGAATGCATACCTGTACCATAACGTGACGACCATGCGTGTGTACGTCTTAAGAGGACTACCATATTGTCTTGCCAAACCAAAGTCACATATCTTCAAATCTCCACGGTTGTTTAGTAGGAGATTTGAAGTCTTTAAATCCCTGAAAAGATCGCTTGTTTACAGTAAGACCAAAAGAAAATAGAAAACAGAAAGGAAAGATAGAAGGCATACCTATGCAAAACCCAGTTGTCGTGCAGATACTTGACGCCTTCGAAGAGCTGTAGCATGAGACACTTCGCCTCACTTTGCGTAAAGGGCTGCTTCATGGCGTCCATCAATCCTTTCAAATCGTGCTCCATGTACTCCATCACCATGAAGATGCTGTCCAAGTTGCTGCCGACCACCACTTCCTTGACATCCACGATGGATGGATGGTGGAAGGAGAGAAGAACATTGATTTCCCGTAGGGAAGTCATGGGAAATCCTTCTCTCTCGTGGTCCATCTTCACTCTCTTGAGCGCCACAATCTCTCCACTCTTCTTGTCCCGAGCACGATAGACGACCCCGTAAGTGCCCTCGTCGATCTTGTTAAGCCTCTCAAACTCGTCCACGCTTCGGCAGCCTCGCAGCATATCAATACTACGTAGCTGCGGGGGCGGCGATCGATCTTCATAGTCCGAGTCCGACCCCGAGCGCTCGTCTGGAGCACTACCATCGTCGTCGCTGAGTTCCACAAGCTCTTTCTCGTTAAGTTCCTGCTCGTACCGCTGCTCCTCATCTCGGCTCCCGGAATTGTCCTGAGCACCACCACCACCGCTGGAAAGCACATCGGTGTCAATCGGCTGTGTTTCATCCTCTCCAGCAGCAGCCGCCTCGGAGAATCTAGACAAGGGCGGCGCCGCATCAGATTTTTTGCCGTCGTCAAGGTCCCAAACAATGGGAGAGTACTTCCTCTTCCTCGAAATCCCATCGTCGCCCTCTATGTCCCTGGAATCCGTGGCAATGTAGGCCCTGACTCCATTGCGCTCATTGTCTGGTCTATCCCTATCGAGATCCATGCCCCTCACCAGATGCATCTCCTGCTAGTCCCTAAGCTACTGCGATCCATCCAGCTCGATCGGGCGGGAGCAGGAGAGCTAGCGCATTTGGAGCTTACCGGCGAGCGCCATTCGCTCCACCACGAGCCCTAAAACACAGAGTGAAGAAGCCCTAGACCCTAGACGTAAAATATTACCCTTTCTAACCTTTGGTCTAATCATTATTGCATTTTATGTTTCTCGATTCTTTATGAGAGGAGGAAAGAAAGTTCTCGTCTATCGACGACGAGGATTTCTAGGTACTTAAAACGTTTTCTTCCATCGGGTCTGGTGCGTGTTAAAATGGAAGAGCGTGAAGCAAAGCGACCGCGCCTGAATCCGGCGCCGCTGCTCGTTTTTGCCCACGGCGCTGGGGCTCCGTCCTCATCCGACTGGATGATCAGGTTTGTCTCTCCGGATCTTGCTTTAATCCTCTTTTTCTTTTTTCTTTCTTTTGGCAAGATGGAAGAACCTGTTGGCAACGGCGACCAACGCCGTGGATGTGATAACATTCGACTATCCCTGTAAGAAGCAAGCTCTTGGGTCTTCTTTCTTATTCTTTTTCTTCTTTCTTGGAAGATCTTTCTGGAGGAAAGAAGGGTGCTCCACCCAAGGCCGAGAAGCTCGTCGATTTCCATCTCCAGCAAGTTAACAAGGGCGTGGAGAAATACCCAGGACACCCAGTAGTTCTCGTGGGCAAATCTATGGGTTCAAGGTTCTTTTCTTTTTTCCTTTAGTCATCTTTATACAAGTTCTTCTCCATTTTCACAGGGTGGGTTGCATGGTAGCTGCGAAAGCCGGCTCACACCAGATAGCTGCTGCAATATGTCTGGGTTATCCGCTTAAGGTATAGTTCTCCTGTTTATATAGCCTGGTAATCCATCCGGTGTCCAGGGAACCAAGGGATCGCTTAGAGATCAAACCTTACTTGAAGTTCCAGTACCAACAATGTTCGTCCAGGTACTTGCGATCAACCATCACTGTGAACTTCACAGCTCTCTTTTGTTCTTTTTCGTTTTGGCAGGGGACCAAAGACACGATGTGTCCGCTCGATAAGCTCCACAGCGTCCTCACAAAGATGCCAGTCAAGACCTCTCTCCACACCATCGAAGGAGGAGACCACTCCTTCAAAGTCCCAAAGAAGGTGCTTGACAAGAACAGCGCAACGCAGGAGTCCCTTGAGCTCCATGCCGTAAATGCGATCCAGCTGTTCCTCGCGGACTCCCTGTGCATGCAATGAGCTTAGCATGTAAGTAAATATTTCTCTTTGAAAATTCTAGACTAGCGAGAGAACTTTCTACACGTCGTACAAAGTGGCACCAGCTTTAGTACTTTAGAACTGGTTTTGCAAGCAATTGGCTTGAGTACTCTTGAGACGTGAAGAATGGCCAAGCAGGAGCTCATTAAGTTCGATCAGGGTTGGCATCTTTCAAGGTGCCACGTGCACTGTCGGTTGGCGTTTAAAGCTAATCAAGATGCGATTCGCATCGCATGGCATTGTCTCACGCTTGTGTCATGGTGTCTTGCAATTCTTCGTTCTCTTGAAGAGCCACGTTGATGCTAGAGCTATTTGTTGTCAATTCTACCATCAGAAGTTATGGAGGAAAAAGAGGCTCGGATAGATGATTACGACTCATTGATAGCCATGCGTTCGAAGGAGGTGTGGAATCTGAAGGGATGCAGTGCAGCACCTTTCTACTCAGAAGAGATTGAAGGCTTGCGTGAGCTGCTGCTGCAGGAGGACAACAACCTGGAGCACGTAGCCCTGCTTTATGGGAGCTACCACAAAGCGGAGGGGTTTCTAGAAGCAGCTGCTGAGCAGCCTTAGAATTCATCGAATAGATTTTGGCGAGGAAGAGATTCGCAGCTTGGATGATGCCATTGCTGCTGCCAAGCACAAGGATGCCAATCAAGCTCAAAACGCTTCTTCTACATTCATGTGACGTAGATTTAAATGCTTTAGCAGGATCAACACTTCCGAAGTATTTAGAACGTCTGGAGCTTTTACATTGAGATTGTTCGCCCCACCTGGAGAAGCTGCTGCAAGATCCAGCCTGCAAGATCTGGGAGTTGTCCCTCGAGACGGAATTCTTCCAGGCTCGAACAAGTCTACGGAAGCTTACGCTGGTCAACATCCCAAATGATCAGGCGCTACTCAGCCAAATCTGCGGATCAATATAGAAGGCCTTGGAATTTCCAATGTGGCCAGCCATGAGGAGATCTCCCTGCTGGCAGATTGCATAAACAACAATGCCAAGTTGGTTCCTGGAGTTAGAATCAATCGATCCAGTAACTTTAATGAAGCCCGTGGGTTAGTTACTGGAGAGCCCATACTGCAAGCTTAAAAGTGTCTCCTTGTCTACGTTATGAAAAAGTCATCAAGTTATCTTTCTCAGGAGTGAATTTATAAGAAATTCAAGACCTCAAGATGTGGTTCTCAGCAGCTTGGAGGCTAACTACAGCAGCCGGATCCAGAGACTGCAAATTGGAGGCAAATGGGCTTCTAAAGTGCAGGAGGACAGGTGGTTGAGGGTACAGTACCGGAATGCTCTATTTCAGAAGAGCCCCGTTTTTGCAAAAAGCACTCCAGTCACACCATCAACTGCCAAGCTGTTCATGTGCGGCCACACTGCCTCGGGCAAGACCACCATCTCCACCAATCTTGTCCGCACCTGTGCAGCCCTCCGGCAGTGCGTCAAGCCGCCGCGTCAGGATCATGCATCATCAACAGTGGGAATTGAGAGGAGGACTCTCAGATTTGGAGAGAGGAAGAAACTCCTGATCTACGATCTGGGAGGCCAGGAGGTCTACCACGCTTTTCATCACTATTTCCTCAGGGGCAGCGACAAAGATCTCTTCATGGTGGTGTGCAAGGTTGGAGGTCCTGGAGGTGACTTCGAAACAGAGCTCCAATACTGGTTTCGCTTCATAGCGGCCCACCAAACTGCAACACCAGCTAGGAAACCCACCATTTTCTTAGTACTCAACATCTTTGTTCGTGATAACCGTTTCTTGGTAGAAGCTCGAGCAGCTGCGACGACACTGTTACTCAAGTATAAGGACAAGCTAGACTTTGTTCAGGGCCAACGTGGTGATCACTATTTCGAGGTGAATGAGTTGAATGTTCGTCAGGTACAGACGGAACTGAAGCCCAAGCTTGCGATAGCAGTGGACGAAATGATAAATGAACTTCCTGTGATTCCCTGGACTGGTGATGAGGTTATCAAAAGGCGGGCTTCATCCACACCATGGTATCATATCCACACACGGGCACAAACACTTGTCCAACAGAGGGTGGTAGACCTACATGAGATGTCCAAGGCTTGGTTCAAGGAGGAGAAAGAAGATCAGGCATTTGCTGCACAATACACATTCATCTGCCTACATGACATGGGAGAAGCTGTCTACTTTGGGGCAGATGACACATATCAAGACAGGGATCCAAACGACAAGGAAGCTGCATTGATTGTCAACAATGCAGTTCTAGACATGCCATGGTTTCTCCACACTGTGTTAGGAGTCTTCATTCCTAAGCAAGAGAGAAACGATACGATGAAGTGGGGGGAACCCAAGTGGTCTACTGCGAAAGCAGTACAAGAGCTCAAAACACTTGGAGAGACTGCAGAGGGCAACATTTATTTCCTGCTCAAGCTGCTCTGTGAGATGGGGGTTTTGATTCCTGATGGCATGAGGAGCTGGGACATAAGGTGGTCAGAGCCACGAAATCTGCCAGAACACCTCATTGTGCCTGCATTATTGTGTGATGAGTTCACTGGATGGATTGCAAGCGAGCAAACATATGATTGTTGGGGTCGGAGATTGCAAGCAGACGACACTATGAAGGGCTTCGTTCTTCTCCCATCAGGTAATTATGCTCTGACTTGTTGGATTAGACTAATACTGATTGAAAGCAGGACTATTTGCAGTTATTCAAGCTAAGGTGAAGGAGATGTGTGACAAATGGGGCCATGGAAGTGAGCTTGGTGCAGGTTGGGTTTCATTTGAAGAGGATCGGATTCAAGTTCTGGTTACTGTTGGTGGGGATTATAAGCATTGGACAGATAGGCAATGGGTGGATATTATGTTGATGGTGCCCAAGGAGGAAAAGAGGGGACTCAAAGGGGAGCAGTTCATGAAGGAGATATGGGATTGTATAGTCACGGAAACTAACAGGGCCTGTCCTTTCATCAGCATGTTCTGAATCCAGTGAAGGTAAGACAATTTGGAAAAGCATCAGGACAACAGGGGTCATGCGATGAAAACAGCAAGAGCTCTTGGACACTGCAAGAGGTTAAACAGATGGTAGCCAGGGAGGGCTTTGATTATCACTTTACCTGGGGTTTTGGTGACTCCACAAGTGCCTTGGAACTCTTGATGCCAAGTGAAGTCAACGAGATTATTCAGCCACGTAAGCATGCTGTTGAAGAGGTTGTCAAAGAATACAACCAGCACATAGTGCCCGTGTATCAAAGCCAGCAGCAACCGCTTGTGCAGGTCGAGATCCCAAAGTTTGAAAGTGATGACATGAGCAACCTTGCCAACTTTTGCTACCAATTACACAAGCATCAAATGCAGGGGATTCAGATATATATGGAGGACTTTAAGGTCTCCATAACAGATATCAAAGAATCCTTACAGAAGCTGCAAAAGGGCCTGACAGACACAGAAAACACATTGATCAAGAGCTGCTCATCACTGTTGGAATCCATTAAGCTGGAGTATCCGAAACTCCCGCACATTACAATGGAGTCAAATCTAGTGCTAAAATATTCACCACTGATTGGGAAACAGGCAAATATTAGCTACTTATGTGAGCATACAAGCGGCTGTCACCCAGTTGATTTGAAGAAGTACCCAGGAGTACCAATCACTATCCCAAATCAATGGTTCAAAAAGTATAGCAACGTCTTCATCCCAGGCATCACAATGTGTTTCACCCTTGCAAAGCTCGGTAAAGTGGCATTGCCTGTGGGAGGGGAGCTGGTCGGCACCTTGATTGAGCTTGGTGCAAATGACTTGAAGGCTACAATGGACTCCTGTTTTGAAGGCGATCTCAATAACAGGTTGCAACCAGCATCAAAAGATGACATTGTGGAGTTGTATGAGTATGTGAAAAAGAATTCACCTCAATGATATGGCGAGGACCGAATCTTGATGATGAAGAAGTGCTTTGGACTCGTCAAAAGTCCAAGTGGCTGGGTTTGTGAAGATCACCATTACTGAAGAAGAAGGGCACAGGCTTTGTAAAACTACTAAAATGAAGAAGCGGTGAAGTGAAGGATATTTTATTCAAAGAAAAAAAGCAAAAGAAAGCAGCGGAATGTTTTTGCTGATATGCCTGGGTTATCCACTTAAGGTATAGTACAGATGGACTACCCCCACTGTAAGACCACCATCTTTTGACTTTTCAATTCAATGTACCTTTTGAGCGCACCGGATGATGTTTCGCCAGAAGATAATCCAGGAAATTCCCCACGCGACTCAAGCGTCACAAAACAGGCAAAAACGCTTGGCTCTAAAGCAAAAGCTTCGAATTCCCTGGATGATTTGATCTCCATCCAAAGTCTAAAGCCCAGTACTGCGCTCTTTCGTCTAGCTCGGGGCTTTGTGCTTTCCAGACCAAAATGAACCAGCTGCGAGAGTAACACCACGGTGATGGAATGAATCACGATATGGAGATATAAATGTTGACGTTCTATTTTCAAAGGATCATCGGGCATTCCCTAGTGCCCACTCCATGTCCATGCTAACACTTTCTGCCTGGACGCCCTACCTTGACCTCCACCCCATCCTTTACACCTTCCAGTGGGAAGAATGTGCCTCCCGCTTGAGCAAAGACTTGCAATGGCTTGGCATTGCGCCAAACACAACTCTCCTTTCGTGCTTTAATTGATGAGCGGACAGAGCAGGGGGAATCCTAAAGAAGTGGTAAATATATTTCAAGGAACTATGATTTGATGAGAAAAGATACACCAAGTAAACTTTATTATCAATTAACTATCAAATATCCAAGATAATATGCTAAGGAACTCACTAGAGATAACATAGCATTAAAACAGAAAAATCATTTATAAAGCTATTTAAAATTTATTATGCAATATTATAAATTTTTAATTCTGTGGTTAGTTTGTATAATGTAATAAAATATCATATCAGATCATAAATCTATTAAATATCTTTATTGTAATAAATATTTTTTAATTTCATTATCAGATTAAATAACACAACTTGGTATAAATATATTTTATAAATTTAAATAATAATATATTCTTTAACAAAGTGACAAAGGTAACTCCATCTCATTATATATTTAATTCTTAGTTTTCAGAAATTTATTTGAAATTTATAAGCCGATTTAGATTAAAGTCATAGTAATAATAATCTATTTACTTAATTTCTTATATGTCATGAAAGAATATATTATATTATGTTTTATCTGGAGAGATACTAAAACTCACCAAAGAGTAGTATGGAGACATATTAAAACTACTAGGGATTGGAATAA